GCCTACAGTCAAATGGGTAAGCAGTGGAAATGCAACCTGTCTAATTCCAAAACGCAACCCTTAACCTCTGCTGTCCTGCCCCTATGGGAATGTTCTCCCGAGTGCTTTCTAGAACGATGAAGAACTGTAATCAGCCCACATATCCAAGAACATGGGACTGATTAAAAAGTTATAGCACAACTACACAGTATGTGGCTAAGAAAATCACACTGTAGAAGAACTTGAATTAAATGAGAAAATAGACACTCCGTAGTGTTACATGAATAAAGCCTGTGAAAAGGCCTATGATACAGGTCCAATTCTGTAAGCATATTTTGTTATATTTATTATAATTAGACTATATTAAAAAGGTGATATGATAAAACAGCTTGATGTAATATGATACAATGTCAATAAAGTTTATTTCTGTACAGCAGGACTTTTATTTTCTTCTACTTTTTGTATTTCTCCAAATTTTCTATAATAACCATTCATAAATTTAATGAGAAGTTATTTAAAGCATATAGAGAAACAAGAAGAGAGACACGTACTGAACAAGCCTATAGCTGCTTTATATGGTTTATATTAAAAAGTTGGGCTAAACTTTGGAAAGATTTCTCTTCACTTGCTATTTGGAGGGTGGGGGAACAGTACACACACAGAGAAGGTATTCTATTTCTAGGAATCTGCATGTCTTTATGAGTCCTTTTCACTCTCCAAAGACTAATGGCTTGTGTTGCAAGGAGGCAGGGAGCAAAGGTAGCTCTTGGTGGGCACTAGCACCAAGCTACACGGCACTTACTTCGAGGAATTTTAGCAAGGTTTCACAAGGAATCCTAATCAGCAAAAGGAAGATGTTCTCAAAGCACTGGCTCTTACATTCCTCTTCTGACTTAAAGTCCCCTAATGTATTAAGGATACGAAAACCAAACTCATAGTGATCAAAACAAGTCTCTGCTTTTACTTAATTCTAAGCCATACTTTCAATAATCAAAACGCACTTCCACTTTTAAGAGATGGGGCAAATAAACTAAATCTTACACAGTGCCTGGGACATAACGGGGCACCCAGTGATTATTTAATAAAGGGATAGTGAAGGAAAGGCTCGCACTCAGCCCAGCCATCTGAGGGAAAGGTTTCAGAGTGTAGGAGTCATGTTTATTTTACACTGTTGGCCAGACCGGACCAGTACCAGCACCAAGGACTGATGAAGGTGAGAACAGGTGCACAAAGAACAAGGGACACAGAGCTCCTGTTCAGGTTTGGAGCCCTGGTGACCTCTTAATTGTGAGATTCAAGCTTTAACTTCACTCGTGGGGAGAATCACGGACACTCTTCTCCACTTTCGATTAGCTCTTGCCCTGCGGCCGTCCCTCAGCTCTGGTTAGATCTCACACTGGATTCCAGTCTGTCTGAAATGTCCTCCTGGCAGGGGCAGCCGGCCGCGTGACTTTCAGCTGCTAGTTATTACTTTTTCATGACATTTCTCAGATGTTCGTGATTATTTGCTCTATCCCTAGGAAAACTGAGGAAGACAATTAAGACAAATATCTTGTCTGAGGGCCACCGAGAGAAGTGATAAAAAAAACAAGATCCCTTCATAACCACTCTTTTGCTTAGCACAACCGAGCTAAGGTGGTTCTTTTTGAGATTAGCAAAGCAGTCTAAAATGTCATATTTCTTTTCATTTGTATCACCTTACATAATAATCTGTCATCTTTGAAATCTCTCTGCCCCTTCTAACCCCGCATATCCAGTTGGTTACAAAGTCCTGTCGAATCTCCATAATCACTTAGAGCCTGTCCTTTTTTTCCTGACTGCAGCTCAGCTATTTGGTTCAGCCCTTGATAGGGTCAGCCCTACCTAATCTACTGCAACTGTCTTCTTCCTCTACGTCTCTCCATAAGCCAATACATGCTCCACATTGTGGCCAGAGTTACCCTCCTAAAGCTAGAATCTGATCTCATTACACCTGTTCTAGACATACTGCTTTATGAAATCTATCAGCACCCATGATTTCAGGAAAGTACTCCTCCATCATTCTATTAATAACCCTGCTCTGTCCACCAGGTTCCACGAACTAACCCTGTCCCCATCCCACCCCGTCACCTCCTCCCCCACATCCCCAGGGACAGGGAAAGGATCTAGGCCGTCTGGATCCAGCTGCTGTGGTCCGTGTGACTGGCCTGAGATGGAGAAATGAATCATGCGAATGGCCCCCTACTGGCCAATCAAAGTCCCCGGAGCCTTCTGCCAACACCGTCAGGGAAGATGTTCTCTTCTCAGGGATCACAGGCTCGGGGGACTGCTGAGGCTGAACCCATGTGGGACACTCTCACGAAGGCCAAAGCCAACACTAAGGCCAGCAGAGGTCACAGATAAGAAGCTAGAAGAAGGAAAGTGGAAAGGCTCCAGCACATGGAAAAACGTCACTGGAGTCCCCACACCTTGCCATACTTCTGTCATCTTGGATTTAGCAGTTATGTGAAGGAATAAATGCCTTTCTTCCTTGTACACTATCCTAAACTGTCTGCTTGACGCTTCTGTACGCAGAATAGTTGCAACGCACATAACTGCACTGCTCAGAACATTTAGTAGCTTCTTACTTCCCACAGGAAGAACAACCCCAGACTCCTCTGCACAACATTCAACAGAAGAGACCACCTTAGCTTTTCAGCTTTAACTCTCTGTCCCAGCCTCAAGTAGTTATTTTAGAATTTTTTTTTTCAGAGACAGGGTCTCTCTCTGTTACCCAGGCTAGAGTGCAGTGGCATCATCACAGCTCACTGCAACCTCAAACTCCTAGGCTCAAGCGATCCTCCTGCCTCAGGTTCCTGATCAGTTGGGACTATAGGCGTATGCCACCATGCCTGGCCAATTTCTGTTTCTTGTAGAGATGGGGTCTTGCTATGTTGCTCAGGTTGGTCTCTTCCAGATATTAATATAATAACCATAGAATCAATACCTTCTCCTATAGCCATCATAGACCCTGATTTCTGCCCTCCCATGCCACTGCTCATAATACTTCCTGAATCTGAATAATTCTTCTACTCCCTCCCCTTCACTATTAAATCTTCCAGACTCAGCTTTTATTAAGCACTAACATCACATTTTACATTACAGCTTTCATGTGCATATATATCCCACCCTTCCAGGATTCTTCGCAGACAAGAACTAGCTCTTCCTAAAGTTTAATCTCTAGCACCTGACAATTTGTTCTAGAGAACAGATACTCCACAAATGTTTGCAGCTCTGGTCAGAAATAAAAGACTAAGGATTGATACCTATTAGACTCTTAATTCTTCTATTAGAATTTCTCAAAGATGAACTATATCACTATACGACCCAGCAACTGCACACTTAGGCATGTATCCCAGAGGAACAAATGTATATTCACACAGACCTGTATGCAAATATTTGTAGCTGCTTTGTTTGGAATAGCCCCAAACTGCAAATAACCCTGATGTCCGTCAATGGATGAAGAGTTCGACAAAGTGTAGCACATCCATATAATGGAACTACCCCGCAATAAAAAAAGAACAAACTATTGACACATGCAACAACTTAGGAAAACCTGGAGGGAATTATGCTGACTGAAAAACAAAGCCAATCCCAACAGGTTATACACTGAATATTTCTGTTTTATATAATCATTTTGAAATGACAAAATTATAGAAATGGAAAACAGATTACCAGTTGCCAGGGGTTACAGATAGGATATGAGGTGGGGAGTGAAGAAGATGGTTAGGGCATCACAAGGAATCCTCGTGGTGACGGAAATGTTCTGCAACTTGACTATACCAATGTCAATATTCTGGTTGTGATATTGAAACATAATTTTGCAAAATGTTACCATTAGAGGAAAATGGGTAAATGGTACATGGGATCTCTATGCATTATTTCTTACAACTACATGTGAGTTTACAACTATCTCAAAATAAAAAGTTTAATTTTTTAAAAAAAAGCTAACCATATTTCAAACAGATACTCAGTGCTAGAGCACCTCACAAATAATCATAGTTTCAAACAAAATATCTCAATATAGCCAGTGATACAATAGGGTTTTGTCCACCAGAGGTGAGTGGCTCTCCCAAAAAAGAAGTAGAGAAGAGAGTCGTTCTGGCCAACATGAGAGAGATAATTTCTTTGCATATGACAGCTATTTTCGGAAACTCGGATGGCATAAGAAATTACAAATACTAACAAGAAAACGGTCCCTGCTCAGAACACCGAGCTGGGACCCCAAGTGATAGTCTGTCTCTGCAAGTGCACAGCTGGGCTTCCATGGGGATGAATAACAGCCACGATCTGTGAAATTCGATCTGTTTGCCATTTAGATCCATGTGACTCACGGAGGCTGGCTGCATTCATATCTAAAAATACAGGAAATCTGCAGCCTAAGCAAATTTGGCTCATGGGCTCATGGGTTTTTGATTCAAATACTGCACATTTGGAGACAGTGGTTTTGTATTTATATTAGCCATCAGCAAAAAAGGTTCTGCTACTCAAGTGACAGGTACTAGGTTGAAATCTAGAAGCAAATAGGATCAGAAGATTTATCTGCTTATACACATTTTATCTGGGAGTTACAAGACACCTGCTCAGTGACAGGGACATGAAGTCTGAGGTCCTCTGCAGGCCAGAATGATCCCCTTCCTTGGGAAATGGGTGTGTCCCACTAAATACCTGTCCCCAAAGAGGACAGAGGAGTCATGAGCTATTACAGACAAAGTAGGGTGTGGTGGTCACATGAGTGACCAAGCTCCCCTTGGACTGCCAGCGCAGTCTACAGAGGGTGTGGAGCCTTGGACCCGGCCCTTTTTATTTCGTCCAGTCTTACTCAGAACCTTTCCCAGCAGTGCCTGCAGCCATGACAACTGGCAACGTGGCAGCTCATTTCAGGGTGATAGCTCTTAGACATCCTGATTCCTTCCCCAAAGGCCGTCCACAGTCACAGCCCCGGTGACTTGTCAGCGTGGGCCTCCCCAGGGACCTGCCAGGCACAGGCACACTGCACTCACCCATCAGGACGCTCAGCAATTTCTGCACTCTGGAGTTGACCCCCACGATTCGGTACAGCCCTTGCTCATTGATCCCTGAGAAAAGAAACAGTGATGATTAAATTAGAGGCACATCAGAACACAAGTCAGGTCAACCCGGCCAAATGCACTTAATTTTTTCATTTTCTCAGTCCTTCTAAAAGCTGCTCTAATTAAAGTCCCCTGTCACTCAGCTCAGCTCTTAGCAAAGGAGTGGGATTTGGTACAGCTGTCTAGGATTTCATGGACGTGCTGCACCCTTCAGCCCTCATGTTAGTTCAATCATCAGAGGGGGAAAAAATTTTCCTTTTCCCTTGCCAAACGCAGCATCTGAAGAGTTTTAAAAGATGCAAAATATATACTTTTAAATGTCACATTTAACCAATCTTTTTAATTTAAAAAGCCAAAATGGCATGATTAAAAATTCATACAACAGAAAAAGACAAATAATTATTTTTACATATAGAATGAAAATATTGAGGTATAAGGACATTTTTAATTTTAGGGAATGTTAGCCAAGACTAAAAAATTAGAAGATCCATTCATCACTTGCAAATATTCTTTATTTTAAAAAAATAAGACTACCACCTTCATTCAACCCAAGGAACTGTGCAATTAGACTAGAAGAGATTTACCTTCAACCTTCTGAACAAAGAACTAAAAACTAACCTGTTGCCCTACCCTTATTCATTTAAACACAGGGATTATATCACCACTCTACCATTTACAAAAGAGGGCAATTTAGACCAAGTGATTTGAGAAATGAGTTTTCTTCTGTTAGTGCCAGGCCCATCATCCCTGACCCCAGTCAAGTAATTGGGCTCCTGTGTCTATTTTATTTCTCTGATGTCCATTCTCCAACCAGTAACCAAAGTGAACTTCTTAAAATATAAATCAGTTCACAACACCTCTTCTCCAAAAACCCTCCAATGGCTTCCCCTTGCATTTAGACCATCATCAAATTGCAATTACAGTGGCCTACAAGGCCAGTACAATCGAGTATCAGCCCATCTATAACCACACCATCGACTATCTGCACTCTGCCCCGGCCACACTGGCCTTCCTATTACTCTAGTGTACTAAGCTCATGTCCCCACTTCACGGCCTTAGCTCTAGCTGGTTCCTCTACCTGGACCTCTTCTCCCAGATCTTTTGACCATTCAGGTCTTGGCTTTAGTGCAATCTCTTCAGTCCAACACTACTGGTCATTCTCTTTCCCTGTTTTCTTTTCTTTACAGCAGCTAAAAATAGCTGAAGTTATCTTTTTTATTTGGTTCCCTGTTTGTCTTTCTCCGTACAACTAGGATGTAAACTCTAAGAACAATGATTCTGTCTTGTTCACCACTATGTCCCCAGCCCCTAGATCAGTACATGGTATGTAATGAACAGTATACTGAGTTATACTCCATCAGAGCCACTATAAAATCCTTTTCTGGGGAGCCCAAAACATAATTTTCTGGAAGACATTCTGCAAAGGGCTGATTCTGCAGCATCTTCAACAAGACCTATACAGAAGTAGAACTAATGAATAAAAGGAAGTGGCTTGGAATACGACTTTACAGCTAAAAAGGACCTGTGAGATCAAGTATACCATTCGGCACAGTTCATGGGCCGGGAACTCCTGGTCAAAAACTAAGAGACGGGTCCCTAGTTACCCAGTGGTAGAAACTATACTCAGTAACATGCCAGCTTGAAGAGCTTGAAAGATCTGTGGTGTCTACTTCTTTTATTCTTGTGCTTTCATGGAACTTTATACAATCCCAGCTCCCCCTGGATAATTATTAATGAATCTCAGAGAGTATGGGACATCTGTTCATCTCTGGTCACCATAAACATGTGTATACACACACACACACATTGCAACAGGGACATATGTACTTCCTTCAACTATTTATGCTAAAATGGCATCTAACTCACACAGTCCATATTTCTCCTTTGTGCTAAATGAGAACTGCCTTAGAAGTTAAAACATAGCATTTGTAGCCTCATTTCAGAGAGGGGAGAGGACAAGGAGGCAGGGGCTGAGAGGCCAGACCAACTTGTGACACTCTTTCTTCTTCTTCTCCCACTTACTGCACATATTTTCTAGTTTTGTATCAGAAAAAGTTATCCTCCTGAGCTATGGGTTTGCATTTACCACAGACTCTGTGAATGGCTTGAAATGATTAGGTTTCCCCCTGGGTTTGGGATGCTGAAAACTGAGAGGCAAGCAGGTGGCTCAGGGCAGGCAAGTGTGCAAGGCTCACTGGGGAGAGGGCTGTTTGCTCTGCACTCATGCTGGGCTGTATTCTCTTGCCTATGCTGTTGCAGACCGTGTACCTCTTATGTTTCATTCATTTCTTTTAAAATGAAAAACAAAACTCCAGCTGAAAAATTACCTTGGCAACCTAAACTTCAAAAAAGTTGAGAAACTGCAGTTAAGGCAAATAGATGTGTCAAAGGAAGACAACTAAAAATCAGCAGAGCACACCGCTGGCTGATAATGCAGTGAAACCTGAGCAATAGGCTCTCCTTTCTCCCGCCGCTCCCAGGATGGGTTCATACTGGGCAGCTGTTTTACAACTTGCAGTTTTCATTTAATGTATATAATTTACATGTAACTGCCATGTGAGTTGTATTTAACTCATGCTAGTTGTGAACCCAGGGCCCCCGGGAAGCAAAATCTGGGCAAAACCCTGCAGTGGGTTTGTGAAAATTTTACTTGTTGATATTCTTGTGGTTGCAACTAATAATGGCAAATTAATTCCAAAACATGTAGATTAAGTGAATAGGAGTCGATAAATTTCATTTTTCATTAAATTAGAAAGGATTGTTTTGTTTTCAAAGTTTTATTCTATTGTCATCATAAAACACCGTGTCCTCAAGAAAAAAAAATTTTTTTTCTAGTGTGGCAGTCAATGTGTTAAGAAAATAGTGCATGTCAAGAAAGGTATTTGCACTACATTTTTAGTGATTCATAGTTTTTTTACTACATGGGTGTACCACTGTTGATTTAACCAATTTTTGAGATGTTTGGTCAGTTTCTGATTTTACACCTCAACAATACCATTGTATGAACATCCTTCTATCTTATTTCCTTTTTCCTCAAGATCGATTCCCAGAAATCTCACCTATTTCTATTTTATATTCTCTGGATATATTTTATGTATCCTTATAAGCTGCCTTAACTCTTCGTTTAAGGGAGGTATAGCAGAAATACATTTGAAAAATGTTTGCACTCATCAAAACAACTCTTTTGGAAAGCATATCTTTTAACAGGATATCCACGAGTAGAAAGGCTTGTGAGGTTAGGTGTTTTCTCCCCTCCCCCTCTACTTTATAAAAAACGTTTTATATTTCTCAACTGCTAAGAGTTATGGCCCCTACTTTAAAATACAGAATTTCCTTCAAACAAATAGAAAGGGCTGGTAGTTCAGAGTCTGTCGAATACAGAAGATTCACATCTCTGATAATGGTTCAAATCAAATCCATCCTTTTCTTAGGGGTACAAAAGACCAGTGCACTCAAAGCTCCAAACTGCTGGAACAGAGCAATCCCCTCTGTGGCAGCCTCCAAGGGAGGGATGGAGACCATGACAACGAACCAGCTTCCTTGGTCTCAACATCCTGCTCCTATGGACCCAGGAAAGGTCAGTGGGCAACATGGGCGTGACCCTTTCTCTCCACCTGGATGGTCCCCAGGGACTGGCTCCCTAGAGCACCTGGGGTTCACAGACCCCAAATCATCCACCAGAGAGAATTCAGGGTGTCCATGAAGTTAGACAGGAAAACAATTACATATTTACCTTCACTAACCTATAACTGACATTGAGCATTTCTTTCCATTATGAATGTAGACAACAAACCACAGTAGCGTTGGCAATACCTGCAACCTGGTCAGAAATGGCAGACTTTTCCCTAACACATTACTGTTGTTACAGACGTCCTGAAATGTCACTACTTCCAAATGATGTCGGTTATCAGACCCGCCCCTATAACTTTATTAAAGCGTTAACAAAGAAACACATATATTACTATATCCCTACTATGTTTTTTAATACTTTAAAAATTGAATTACAGTAACTGATTTCTGTAATCCTACGTATTTTACACGTATGTATTTAAAACATTCTTCCACTCAGCCAAAGAAGCTGGTGACACAAACCCAGCTGAGAACCCCTGCTTCAGGCCAGCAGGACTTGTGGAAACACAGCAACAATGGCACTCGGGGAGTTAATGAGTCACTTAAAGTCCGGAAACAGCAGGTAGCAGGTCTGACTCCTCACCAGATGCACGACCTTCCATGAGAACAATGCCATCTGCTAAACTACTTTACCTCTGGTCTCCACAGCATGGATGCATTTCCTGATTATGCTGAAGCCAACGGTGTCCAACTGCGCAGCTGGAAGAACAAGAGAAGGACAGTCAAGTTGCCAGCCCTGCCAATCAACCTCAGGACAGGGCTCGGCCGAGCCAGGTGAATCAATCTCACGCTGTAGCCAAATACGCTTTTAATTTTTCCCATTAACAGCATAGGTATAATTTAAAAAAAAAATAACAGTTGCCATCAATTGAGAGCTTTTCCCTATGCCAGGTATGGTTCTAAGTACTTTGCACGGAATACCTCATTTATTCTCACAGTAATCTCAAGTTACAGTAGCATGCAAGGTCATCTTCCACATACAGCTGAAGAAGCTGCAGATTAGAGTGACAGACACCTTTACATTGCTTTACTACTCACAGGAGCTGTAGGACTATTTGTGGTCTCCTTCAAAAAGTACAAATTAAGTGCTCTATAAATATAAGTACTTCACGCAGATTATCTCATTTAATCCTAGCAAGTCCTCCAGGATGATACTGTTATTAACCCTATATTACAGATGAAGAAACTGAGGCTTGGCAAAGCTAAATATCTTGACCAAAGATGCAGAGCTACTATATGGAGACTTGCTCCAGAGCCCATACCACCAAATTGCCTTAAGTGTGACCCCGAGTGAAAGTATAATTCTGTAAAGGTGACTAGAAGAGAGGAAAAATGGGGAAAAAAGAAATAAAAGAAAAATAACCCAGAGGAAAATAAAACAGCCAAGAACAGAGAAGCTGGTTGATGAAGAACCATGAAGGCAGTGGGGCCACCGCTCTATGTGGGGACAAGAGTTCTCCATTCACTTCAAAACCTACTGAAGTCACTCAGAAAACAAATGATCAGCAGCAGCAACTTTGTGCACAGCAGAGAACCAGCTTCAAACCTGACACGGCTGGAAATTCTCCCAAGTTCACCCCATGCTTTGGTTACCCAGTGACAAGATGTGCGTGGTACTTCCTTAAGAATGGGTACTTCTTTGACCTTCTTTGGACATTAGGCAAAGACATTCTACAGCGTAATGTTCAGAGTGGAGAAGGAAGGTGGCATGAAGTAGAAAGGTGGGTATTTAATAAATAATTTATGATCATCCCAAGGCAAGTAATAAACTTGTAATATATAACAACTGAGCAGAACCTGAATTCATCTTGGATCTAATCCAAATGGAATCTTTCTTCAATTCTTAGCATATGTGAGTGAATTCAGATCCAAAGAAGATACAAAAAACATTAAAAAAAAAAATCACTGAGAATTCCCAAAATCAAACTAAAAAGGAATGCTAATTCCCCAAAACTTTTCTTCCCAAATTGAAATAGCTCCTGTACTTATATGCAAACTTATTGCTTAGTGATACTTATAAACACACCGAGACTCTAGGATAGTAAGTAAAGGACCAGAAAAGAAGCAGAAGAGCAATGTTTTTCTCTCTGGAGATTATCTGGTATACAAACCATTCTTCTTATTCCCTTAAAATGGTAAGGAGCCTACTAACTCAATCACTTGTTTTTCCCAGTATGAACCAAGTATCCACTCTGTAAATTGTGATCTCAAGCTTTTTCCCTGTAAGCTCTGAGCCAAATCAAAATAATTCTTCTAAATGAAACTCAATGCATGCAACAGACATTTTTCAAATTTACTAACAGCCTAAAATACACAGGCCAAATACCTGCTGGAATGCAGGGGAGGATTTTTTTTTTTTAATAACAGTTTTATTGAGATATAATTCACTTACCATAAAGTTTACTCATTTTAAGTGAACAATTCAGCAGTTTCTAGTATATTTGGAAAGCTATGTATTAACTACTACTAATTACAGAACAACCCCCCCCCAAGATTAAAAAAAAATATATATATACACATTAGCAGTCACTCTCCATTTCTTCCATTCTCCTAGCCCTGGCAACCACTCATCTACTTTCCTTTTATATGAATTTACCTTTTCTGGATAGTTCACATTAATGGGCTCATCCAATATGTGGTCTTTTATGTCTAGCTTCTTTGACTTAATAGAATGTTTTCAAGGTTCATCCAAGTTGTAACATCAGTAACTTTGTTTCCTTTTATGGCTAAATAATATTCAATTGTCCAGATATACCAAATTTTGTTTATCCATTGTCAGTTGAGAGACATTTGGGTTGTTTCTACTTTTTGGCTATGATGTATGACGCTATTATGAACATCTGTGTATAAGCCCTTGTGTGAACATACATTTTCATTTCTCTTGAGTATGTATACCTAGGAGTAGGATTGCTGGGTCTTAGGATAACTCTCTGCTTAACTTTTTAAGGAACTGCCAAACTGTTTTCCAAAGCAGCTGCACCATTTTACATTCCCAACAGCAACGTAAGAGGGTTCCAATTTCTCCACACTCTTGCCAACACTTGTTACTGTCTTTTTTATTATAGCCATCCTAGTGGGTGTCAAGTGGTATCTCACTGTGGTTTTGATAATGACTAATGATGCTGGGCATCTTTTCATATGCAGGGGAGGATTTTTATTCCTTTATACAGTAGTCAGAATAGAGCCTGCTGGAAAGTATTTGTCAGATAAGGAATCACTTTTTGTGCTTAAGGAGGTTTCCAAAACGTTTGTAACTGTGATTCAATAGTCAGTTGAAGCCTTTTAGTTCTTTTTTTTTTTCTCTGAGAGGTGCTTAAGAGACTCTTTTCAAATAGAGATGATAATCAAAGAAGTTTAGGAGAAAGAACCACCACTTTGCACACTGCTCTGGGGAGCTGCTGAGACTGTTTCTAAACCTGGATGTTTTAAGAGTAAGTTTTATTCTAGGTATTGATGGACTTCTGTCCTAGATAAAGACTTTCCTTTCCCCATGAACATCGATAGAAGTTTTGAAAAACTGGAAAGAACTTGGCAACTGACAGTGATAACCCCAGGAGTCAGAGATAAAGCTATCAGCTAAACAGTAGAAGAATTGACAGAGGTGGACATAACCTCGTACAGGCAAATCAGTTCTTAAACCTTTTTTGTGGTGCTGTAGGAAGCAGAATCCCTTTTTAGGTAAATAATATTTAATGGAAAAGAATAAAATGGAAACTGAAAAAATAATTATATATATACACACACACACACATCTCCAAAAAAACTTAAAATTCCACTAACCTGAATTAACTACAATTACTTCTTTTGGAAAATGGCAAAGCAAAACTCCTGCATTCAATCTCTGAGTAAGTGTTCCTCCTTTGGTTTTTCCAAAATGAAAAGTTATCCAATCTGTTTTAAATCAGTAAACTCCTTTTCTTGAAATAAGTCTTATGGGGATGTTACTCATAATGGCCCTACACATTACAAATGTAATGCAGTATTGATCAGTAAATCTGAGTTGTCTAAGTTCAAACACATAAAACATTCACTTATTGTAAAGTCAAACATTAGGAACTCAAGGTAACTTTCTATTCGCCTCTAATGTATTCATGTTGCATATGATGACAATTATTTATAATCTTATAAATACATAAAACCATATTAAGAAATGGAATCCATTGCAAACAATGGTTCCCCCAAAAAGGAACTCATAAAATACAGTTTAGCAACCAATGCTCTAAATCTGTACACTGGAACTGGTGTAAGTTATTACACTGCCCAGCTCTTTCCCACCACTCTTTCTCCCCCCCCCCCCTCTCTCACACACACACACAGTTTGATTTCTCTTCTCATCAACTCGAGTTTCCTGCTGACATCATGATTAGGTTACTAATAATTAACAACCGTTTTATTATTTAACATGGACAGAGTACCACTAATGTGACAGGGACCACAGTGCACACATAATCAGATTATTAGTCCCGCTCTCTGCCCAGTGATCTCTGCCCTAAGTTAATTGAGATCTCCCAGCCTGAAAAGCAAATTCCCACTAAAAGGTTTAGAACACGCTCATCACACCGAGCAGCGTCTGCTAATGACAGAAACAGTCTGAGTGGCCCGCCAGATGGAGGCGGCTGTCCTTAATCCCCTCAAGCAGGTGATTCAGCTCTTTCACTGAGCCAAGGCTCGGAAAAGGTCAGGGATTCATTTGCAATTTCTGTATCCTTATAATCTGCAGAAATAATCTCTCATTAAATATCCACTAGGCTCGCATTATTATTCCCTTAATTTGACTCGCGATGAGTTGATGCAGGACTGGCAGCTCCCAGGCCTGACGCCCGCTGTCCTGCAGGGAAGCCTTCGAGCCCCATCCTCCGCCCCGAGCCCCGGCTTCATCTGCGCCCAAGTTTGCACAGCGCCGCCCGAACACCTGCCTTGTGATGAACGCTGGCAGGGCAAATACCCAGGTGACCTCCCGAGCTAGAAATGCACCATCCTCTTCACTGTCACTTCAACTTTTGAAGCCTTTTTACTTTCTCTCCTTTTATAGATGGGGGGGGGGGGGGGGAAAAAAAAAAGGCCAGGCTCACACAAGCCCATTTTCTCGAAAGTTCTATGGAGAAGATGAGAGCACAGAAGGGTTCACGCTCAGCCCACTCAGAGGGTCTTAGGGCAATCGCAGAAGCAGGAAGAGGACGCCTGGTGCACCATTTGGGTTCGGGCTGCCGTGCCTGAGATAAGAACTCTGGGAGGAGGGAAGCAGGTTGAGTCCAGAGACTGGCGGTTTTATTGCAAAGGGCTTCACGAAGCAACACACTGTAAAGTGCAATCAGATTATTTCCTTGTCTAAAAGAAGGCGGCTGGTGGGCCAGCCAGAAAGACATGGATTTTAGCAAAACCACCACTGCCCATCTGTGAGGCCCAAAAGGTCACTTCCATGCTCCGCAGCTTCTGGGACCTCATCCGAGATACTTTCCCCTGGCTCCTCTCACCTTTAAAAAACAACAAGCCCTGTAGGGGTGGGGGGGTGAGAATTATAGCAAAACCCTGAGCATCACCCTTGGCACCACCCCCTTTTCTCACCCCAATATGGAAATTGTCACCACATCCTCCAGTTTTATCCCTGATGTCTCTCAATTCTGTCTGGCTCTCTCCACCTTCCCCATCGCCACCCTAGTCTGGGCCTCCAACCTCTGAGGCCAGGGCGTCCGCAGTGA